ACATTAAGCCAGTTCAACGAACCACCATTCTTATGATGAAAGGAAATGCACATTGATGGATGATAAGGGTCTTTAGGTAAACTAAAAGATGGGCACCGATTTACGTTAATCTCAAGAAAATTGGCAAAGCAGAGATCAAGCAGCCTACCATTACAATTAGGGGTATGATTATATTGAACCAAATTATGATCAAACAATTCATTAAAGAACACAACAGCCCTATCAGACGTTGAAGTAGGAATCAAGCAGCCAGAATTATCACTGTTACACCAAGTGACTTGAGGCAAGTTGAAGACACCCAATGCAACGGCCAAATCGTTAAGTCTAGACCGCTTGACCACTTCACAAATGAGGGCAGCGTGTTTTTTGTAAATGGAGATATCAGAATTTGGGGGAATATAGGAGCAGGTTACAAATAGCTGTTTATTAGGCACTATCGCACGAGTGGCGATAAATCCAACGTCAGGAGAAGTGGGAAATTTCATTGAATTGGAAGGGACTGACGCAGATACGGCAATTAATACACCACCACCAATGCGATTGACCCGATCCTTTCTAAAGACTTGCAAAGAATTGTGAAAATTCCGACGAATGAAGGCCGGGTTTTAGCCAAGTTTCGGTGAAGGCGAAACAGAAAAACTCCGTGCTCACTGAATTTAGAAAAGTAGAATGAATTTTTGAATTAAGGCCACTAACATTTTGATAAATGAGAGATAATGGGCCTGAAAAAACATTTAGTTTTTTGAAGGCGGAAAGACTATTGCTTTGGTATTACGGGGACGATCTCGAGGGATAAATTGCTTAATCAAGGATCCTACTGGCCACAGTGGTTTGTTTAACAACATATCACTGTTTTCAGTCGGAACTAGCATTTTAAAAGAGGAGACTGCCCTAGATTGAGAGGGAGCCATTTTGAAAATGCTAACGCACTTTAAGTTGACTGATGGGACTTTCGCCGCCAGATAACTTTTTATATTATCCATCGATGTTTCAGGTGCCAGTCTTGACACAAATATTGCTTTTCTGGGAGGAACTGCCGTCAAGCAAATGTCGTTACTTGGAACACGAAGGTTCACGGTTGGGGAGTTTAGAGTTGGGGAGAATATAGATAGCGGTATCGCCCTTGCACCAGCAGCTTGTGCGACTTGCCCAGTCTGGTGACTAGCGTTCACATTCGAACAGCCAGGGGGAGAGGATGATTTATTTTTCTCTTTGTCATTTTTAGGCGATGGCGCTTGATTAGAGTGAGTGGCGGCCCTGGGCGGAGATACCCTTGCCACTTCAGCGTAGCTTAAAATGTAAGGACTTGCCGGCTTGTTTGTAACTATTTTGTTACTAACCGACTCAACAATATCGGAAACATTAACGTTCATTTTAGAGTTAGAGGGAGCGGTAACTTGTACCAACGAATCAAATTTAGAGGTAACGTCCCACACGCTAAGCTACGAGTTGTTATTTTTCTGGCTTGGGTAGAAGATGAGTGCTCAATAAAACGACACTCATCAAACTTAGACTTAATTAGCTCAAACTTCTCCCACAAGGAGCCGAGATTTCTACTCACTTCCGAGAAACCATTTCGCGTCTCCGTGATTTTCATAGTTCGGCATTTCAGATTGTTCGTGGAGTTCCTGCTTTAATTTCTTAATTGTAGGCTTTTTTTTATCTACATCGTTTGCATATAGTATGATGACTAACCTGGATAAGTCTGGGTAAGGCAATAATCTCTCTTAGATATAAAAAAACTGAAACTAATTAACAAGTCGTTGAATTTAACGTTCCAATAATTTGGTGCGTGCTTTAAGCCATAGAGATTTCATTAACGGACAACACATGCCAGGCTTAGTTGCCATTCCTTCCAAAGTCCACTAGAGTAAGCTAGGCTAAGAGAGTTAGGATTAAGTAAAGAAAAATCAAGTAAAGAGAACTTAAGTAGGGAGAAACTAGAGTAGTTAGCTTTGGCCGAGGTTAAGTCGAGTTTAGTAAAATTGGAATAAAGTAAGTTAGTCGAGTCGATCGCGAGGTGAGTAATAGAGTGGACGTTTCGATTCGGTTGGTGCGGTTGGAATAATGAGAGTGCTGGGACTTTAGACTAAGAAAAATGAACTGATGTAAGAGTAGAAAACGGAAAAGTGTACGAAGAAATACCTGGAATATATTTCTCAAGAAAACAATATTTGAACCAAAGAATCTAAATAATCTAAAGAATCTAAAGAATCTAATATAAATCCCTAGTGGAAAATAAAGCTATGAAATGTGAAGAAAAGAATGTTGTAAGATATTTCTTGTGAGCAAAGGGCATGGAACCGCTGAGCTACCCCAGCAAACAGGTAAAAAGAGCCAAGTTAGCTCTCCACAGTACATATCCCAAGCAATTCTTTAGTAGGAAACTCACTTATAGCCTTTTTGACTTGACACAGATGCACAATTGTGTTTATATTTAAACAATCTCTTTGGGAGCATTTAGATGAGAATGTACTTATTTAATATTCAAGAACCACGAGATGTTTCTTTAAAGACGTTAAAGTTCGGGATGAATAGAAAAAATTATTTTGCTATTTTGACATTACAACACCAGTGCATCACTTTCTTACAATATACAGTTGTAATAACATACAGTGTTTTACGATACAAATTTTGAAAAGCATTACGAAGTATTTTACGATGTAAAGTTCTTTGCAACAACAAAAAATTTATTTAATGAAAAAATTGATAAAAAAATTTTTTTAAAGTACCATTGATATGAACATATTGAAACAATGTATTTGAGAGCAAATTCATAACCACATGTATGCGTACATTTATATAGTACATATATATATATATTTATTTTTTGAAATACATAATTACTTATCTTTAATATTACGAAGCTTCTACGCTTGTACGAAAACGTCAGCCCACGTCGTTGTTTGAGATACAAAAGGAGAAGCATGGTACCCACTTCCAGAGAGCATTTATTATTTTTATTATTATTATTACTATTATGCGCGAAGGAAAAAAGGAACAAAAGAAATATATATATATATCAGGCGAATTCGCAGCAACGATCGCGACCGCCGTTCGAATCGAACATGAGAATGTATGATCAGCAATGTGTTGACAGCAACCAAAAGGGGGATTTTGAAAAGATTTGGTGGAAAAAACTAATGACTGATCGCGAACGAATTTTTGATGGTCAAGACGAGACATTAAAAAAAAAAGAGAAAGTAAAAACCAAATAACAATAATAATTCTTGGAATTTAGAGACCATCTCGTAAAGAAGGCGAATCTTTTGCCAAATTAGCAGAAAAGTGAGCAAAAAAAAAGGAAAAAGACATCAGAAATCCAGAAACTTCCAGAAGTGCCCTACTGGGAGTGACGAAGAAAATAAGATCACCAATATAGCCATTGATAACGGACGAGCCCTAACATAAGAGGCGGATAAATACGTGCCCATCACCATCAACCTCCAGAGCAATTAAAGCCACCACCATCATGAAAGCAACAACAAATGACAAATTTAACCATATTTTGAGCCATAGCTAGAAAGTTTAGTTCTATAAGCTAGTGAAAACGAACATTTAAACAAACGTTTAAATGTTGATTAGATTGATTAATGTTATATTTAGAAAGTGGCTCTAAATTATTAAGAATAATTATTGCGAAAGAAACCTAAAACAAGACTTTAATAATTTTTCCAAAAATAAAACTAAAACTTTAACTGCGCAAGGGCAAACGTTGGAGAACGTTCAACCCCCCTATATTTCCTGAATTACAGCGAGAATTTCAGCTTCATCGTCTGATAAAAGCGAACATTCTAAATTTGTAGATTTCCAAGATAAATGAATGTGAGAAAACTCAGATTTACAGTATAATCGAAGCGAATATTTCGACCTCATATCACCCCAAGATAAATTGATGCTAAAATCTGATTAAACTTGGTTAATGTTCCACTGGGAAGGTTCGCTCTGAATTGAATATTAACTATTGCTTATGAAACCTGAGCGAAAACAAGAACACAAAGTAGTTTACTTCGTTCCTCTTTTTCTTTCTTAATTTCGTTTTATTAACCTTTGTGAAATGAGCGATTTAATATTATTAATTAATTTAATTAATTAATGGTATTACATCCATACCTGCTCACCTACATATGCAGTCTAAGATACTCGTACGAAAAAAGAAAGCATAACAAACAATAACTTTAGATAAAAACAAAACAAAAAAATTGAAAATATATATAGACATAAGCTACTAACCCCCTTAGAAATTTGTACGGGCCAGAGAAAATACACTAAAACGAAACAAGGATAATAAAAAATAAAAGGATAAAAAAAAAAGAGAAAAAAACCCAAACAAATTTTTTTATATATTTTTGTTTCTTATGAAACAAAAAAAAAAAACAAAGAAACGAAAAATAATAAAGAAACCAATACTCAAATCTGCCCCGTCGAGATCATGACTTCAACATTAGCTCGAGATTGTTACTACTACTACGTATTGGAGCTATTATTATTATTAAATTCTACGTGTATTCCCAGGCCTGAGGAAGACATATTCCATAAAGTATTTTATCATTTTTCTCAGACGTGGGAATATAAGCAAGTGTTCGTTGTGTTTCAGCCTTATTATCTGTTTTGGTAATGTCAGTCCGAAAATATTGACATATCAGAACTCTAAACAAGTGTTCAATCTTTATGTTCTCCATTGTTGTTCTTTTTTTCTTTTTTTTTTTTTGTAATAATTATATATTTATAAAAAAAACAACAAAACTGCGTAAAAAAGACTATGCCAATGCATAACTAGATGTTTGCGTAACTATAAGAAGTAAAACGTTCGAGAAAATTATATTATTTTCTTAAATATACAACAAAAACTCCTCGTTAAGTGTTTTCATATAGTTGTTTTGTAAATGACTTGCATACAATGTAATAATATGATGGTAAAACTTTGAAAAAATACTAGGAGTGTTTGGATGGATTTGTTTATATTTTAATCGAATCTTTTTTTTCATTTGCATCGTAAGTAAATGCAATTATTAGAATGTGATTAAGAGCAGTCAGGAAGGCAAGCAGGGGTTTTGTATGAATATACATTTGCATATACAACGTATACATAAATAAGCTTGAAAATTATAATTGGTAATGAAATTGATTGCACATTAAAGTATGTGTAGCTTGCCCTATAAACCAAAATTTACTTGTTAATTATTTTATTAATGCTAACCTTATTAATAATAAGCGAAGGTGTAAATTTTACTGTACTGTCAATTTTGTAAATCAAGTGAGTTGCAAATGATTTTATTCATCAACCGCCAAATTATATATATTATTAGCAGACGGACGTATTCTATCTCAAATTGTCAACGAATTAATACCAAGCAATAAAACTATATAATATAATGTAGCGACGGTAAAAATAATATGTGCAACTAAATTGCACAATTGCAACTAAATTGTCAATTGCTGCACCTGTTTTGATTAATTTGCTAAGGAACGAGGCGTTAAAATCAAGTGCGTAAATACTTCACCGGGAAGCGTCACGCACACACAATTATTTTTAGATGAATCAAATAAGTTAAAGCAAATGTGCTTTAAAAATTTTAAATCTCCTAACGTCTAGAATATGCAAACAAAAATTGTAAATTAGAATTAAATTAAAGACTACTTTTCGGTTGTTGCCTTGTAAATTGTTCTTTTTCTTCACATATAGATTTCCACAGTGATTTAAACCAAAATTATTTCGATATCAGTATAGCAAAATAAAGAAGCACTACGTTCATTAGATATTTTGTACTATTTTGCTTTTTTCGTTTTCGGTATTTGGTAATCTTTAATCATGTCCTTCTTTCACGGAGTATACAAAATAAAAATGTCGCTAAAAACCAATACCAAATAATATACAATTTAATGCGTTAAACATAATTATAACAAATACATGGCCAACTAGACAAGAGAAAAGAAACAGAATTTATTTATTTATAAAACAAAGTATAATTCAACTGGCAGCAGCACGGTTTTGAAAAAAAGAAATATATAAGCAAAAGTTTATATCGCCTAAAATAGTTCTCCAAAAATGAGTTGGTTACATCCGAGCCCTCTACGATACAATTTGCCACGTAGTCAACATAGTAGCTCATCCGGCGATTTATTTAGTACACCTCATAACTCAAACGGTGGCAATGGTGCACATTTGGTACACTCGGTATTAAGACAACGCCCTATTGATTCTGCTACCGATTGTGATCCTCGAGCATGTTATGATAGCTTTTGTAAACACTGGCAGCAAGCTTATGAAATTATCCAAAGAGCTGAAGGACCCAATAAATCACCTACACATGACGATGTTTTGGGTGTTGTGTCACATTTGGATTTCATGGTAACATTGTTACTAGTGGAATTGCATCATTGTAATAAAATCTCATTGCCCGATAGTACAACAGTACCGCCCGCTCCTTGCCTGGAATATATGCTCAGCGAGAATCTACTCGACAAACTTTATGAGTGGGGCTGTACAACGGGACGTTATGCAAATGCGGTACGTTTGGAGCAATTGAAATTATATGAGCTGTTAGTGAGTTATTCTAGGCATCAATTATTATGTCATGAACCATTTTTAAGACCACTCTTGAAACTACTCGCATCAAGTCAAGGTGAAATATTTCCACCAGATTTGGAGAAACGTTTAGTAATACTACTAAACCAATTATGTGTTGTTCTTATGCAAAACGTGCATTTGTTAGATTTGTTCTTTTTTACATCAGCCCAAGAAACCCAAAGTCCAAGCAAGTAAGTTACTTTTAAATTACCTCATTACAAAGATATTTATACTTACAGGTTTTTTTTTTGGTAGTTTTATAATATTTTCCCTACTTATACCCTATGTGCATCGTGAAGGAAGTTTGGGTCACCAGGCAAGAGATGCTCTTCTTCTCTGTATGGCTCTTTCTCAGAAGAACTCTAATATTGGCATTTATATAGCACAATATTCGTCAATGTCCCCCTTGCTTGTAACCGGTCTGGGTGGCTTATATTCACGTTTGCCCAATTCAATTGAAATTAATTCAATTGATTGGCATCGCATTACACCAGATGATGTGACAGAAATTAGTGAACTAACTCTTTTTATGAATGCTCTTGAGTTTTGCAATGCCGTTATTCAGGTGGCGCACGAAATGATTAAAAAACAATTACTCGATTTTATGTACCAAGGGTTTATCGTTCCTGTTTTGGGACCCGCTATTTTACAGGTATATTTAAACGTATGAATATATTCTTTTCTAATTTCTAGCCATTTGGCAAACGAATAGAATTTTGTGGTTCTTTTTTGAATGTGGTGGTATGGTTATGAGAGAATATTTATGATTGTTTTTGGCGTTGGTTTCGTAAAAATTTGAAAAAAATATTGTACATAAAATGCATCTTTATGAATTGACGTATTTTCCGACTTTCCTACCATTGAATTGCTCAGAATTTATGCACAATTCTTTAGAGATGTTTTTACAAGTTATTTACAGGAACTTATATTTACAATGCCTCTTCTGGTCTCGTCCTTTCGAATACTTCATTCAACTTCAATGCTCTCAACTTTGACTTTGCCATTCGCAATTATTCTGTTTATATCCCCTTTTATAACCAAGTTGCCAATACCTAATTTCGTTGTGACAGTTTCTTTTTTCGCGAATCGCTGTTAAACCTTTCGCCAGCCACCAGCTGGTTGGGCACGTAAAGCATCATGAATGTGTATTTAATTTTATTACTTTTAAAATTTGACTTCCTGGAAAATTGGCCAGTTTTCATGCAGACGCAATACATCAAATGCGGGATTTTCATAGCAATTTTTACGTATGTATGTATGTATGTCCCTGTCAAAACAAAAAGGGAAAGTTAAAAAAGTCAAAAAGTCTTATTTCTTCTTCTCATTGATGTATAGCTGACATTTTTATTAAAGTTTGCATATGCAAGTTATAAACACATGCATTTAGGCAACAGTTTCAATGTGTGCGTTAAAATGGACTAAGTTTTATTAAACAGTAAAATGAATACAATAACGGAACTTCTTATCACGAATAAACGAATATACAATCACAATTTCCAGTCACATTTTCATTTGATCCAGGCATAATAACTACATGGACGAATGCGTAGTTGTTAACGAATAAAAACTATGTCGGAGGAATACTAAGGAGGGAGCGTAGCAATATTTTACAAGTGCTACTATCGAAGAAATTTGCAGCATATGTGGAAAAAGTCATTACCTGAAAAAAATGTTGGTCGAAATTTCGGGCTTCTCTGGAAGTGTTCAGAAAAGAGTGCCTGTGTCAAATGAGTCCGTGCAGGCAACTTGAAGTCTAACAACTCAACTGTTGATTTTTATCGTTTCTAATACGCTCACAGATGCCTTTAGGAATTAATCTTGTGCATTTAAAAGAGTTTCAAAACGATAACATGTCCACGTAGCTTCATCAAGACTACTGTTGACTAGATACGACGCTCAGAGCGGTTCAAAGCCTTGGAATGCTTCGAAAATGCGCAAATCTGTCTTTGACAGATGCGTCAAAAACAGCATAAAATCGATGACTAAAGGCAATGAGGAACAACATTTGAAAATAGAACATTTAAAATAAGAAGATTGCACGCTGATAAAATAAAACAATTAAAAATTAATTCAAATAAAAAGCCATGTCTATAATACAAATTAATACTTTATCGCGAAAGACGATTTCTCAAATCGACACCAAGCATACGATAATATAATTTTTGAAAACAGTATTCTCTAATGCTTCTACAATTCTTCCGATAAGGCAGTTTAAACGTCTTTCATTTATAAAAGACCGCTTTTTCGGTCGCCAATTTCATTTTTTGGCACAGGCACTTACTAACCCCATAAAAATCAAACGGTCGTACAAGCTATTAGCACCTAGATTAAATGATTTTTTTATGTCATATTGCGTGTTGCACCATAGAGCCTCTAAAACTGATAGGGTGCTGCGAGAATGGCTCCGGAGTTGCTTTTTTAGAATATTTTTGGTACAAATGTTTTTGGCTCTTTATCTTCTGAAAGGAGAACCCAGGAGAACGAGAAACAGGAAAACCGTTAGAAATACGTGAACACTTGCGCGATGTTATTCCGTCTTTAAACGTAGCTCACCCTGAAACGTTATTATCTAACGTTGCCACTTAATTCAACGAATGTTTTCTAATTGTTCTTATAAATGATTCACTTAGTAATTCTTCCTGAAACATACGATATCCTAATTCACGGCTGCTATAATTCGTTTGATGGAAAATGTTTGCTACGTAGAAATTCCTTTTCGTTTGAGAAACGATGAACGTCAAACCGCTTGCTGTTGTCATTCAGGATCATACTCTTGCAACGTACTCGGATTTTTGATCCGACTCCGGGGAAGATACATTTTGTTAATCACTTTCTAAAACGTAATTCGAAACCAACAACAGTTAATAGGCGGCCTTCCAAATTATAGAATAGGTTTAAATAAAGTAAATAAATTTATACAACGGTACTTGAAATAATACTGTGTTCTGATACAGTGACCATATTAACAATACATTCTTTTCCACTTCATTCTTAAAGGTATATTCAATTTTTTTGTATCTTTAAGACAAACAAAGCGCTCATATTTTTAGATATTTATTTTCATATAAAGTAGGTTACACAAAAATCGATTCCGAATTATGGCATTTATAGCACGGATTTATTAGGTTCGCCTTAATTTAAATAAAAATATCTTTCATGTTTAGAACATTTTTTTAATTTGCTGTTGAATTAAAGAAAAAACTAAGTTCGTTTTCGTAATTTAAAAGTTTATAAAGAGAATAATTTTGAATCTTTGTGTCTGTTCTCTATGGGATATATTTATGTTTACCTGTCTATATTTACATGTTTGTATTTCGAACCACCACTATAAAAAAAAAAGAATCAAAACAAATTATTTCAAGATAATCTTCAATTGAAAGACAAACATTTCCAGACAAATGTCGATTCACAAATCTCGGCCATGTCTTATTTGGATTTAATCGTCCGATGTGTTACTGAGCCCGGACTTCTTAAATTATTTGTAAAATTTCTCTTGGATGGTGAAAAATTTGACGGAGAACGGATTTTAGATGTTCTTGTTGACCGTCTTACGTCCAATGATCCCAACTTATGCACGGTAACAATATCGTTGTTTGGTACACTTTTGGGACTGCATTGTGAAGATTTGATGTTGGAATTGCTTTTGAAATATCTATTATCCGGCAAACATGTACCGATATCTTATCGTCATCAAATTAATAAAATCGATCAGTCTACAAATGCCGCAGAATTTTTTCTGGGCTTAACACCAGAAGTGATGAAACGAGCTCGAGAATTAACAAAGCACAAACATTTAGGGGATACAGCAAATCATACACATCCTACTATGCCTTCGCCTACTTCCACCATGAGTAAAACCATAGGCGCTAATTGGAATTACTATGGTCTACATACCGGTGACAGTTTATATGCTAATTATCATGCATACTTATTTGAGGCACACTTTCGCATAACCGAGTGTTTGAACGCCTGTTCCGTATGGTGCAATTCGTATAGATATCAAAAATGGCCCTTGAAAACTACACCAAGTAAACAAACAGTAGATATGGTTAAGCAGTTTCTTAATGAATTTGGAAATGGTAGTTTAAACGAACAATTAGCAGTGCAGATGCCAACGTCCGCATCAACTAACCAGCAGCAGGTGTTATGTGATGAGAAGAAACAATTGGATAGTTTGCAGTCTATTGGAGAATCAAGTGGATATGAATCATTCAAATGGCGTCCGCCCGAAGATGAAGGTCTAACAGATGACATACCGCAATGTACTGGCTTAACCTTCAAATTGGGTGGCCTAGATCTGGATGTAAAATGTAACAAAAGTTCTATACGAATGGAAAGCTGGCGAATTTCAAACAAACGCAGCGATTTACAACTTACCGATTTAGATTTTTCTGAAGATCTATTTACTCAAGGGACGGTATCATTAGGTAATTGCAAATTCTTAAGGGCGAGGTAATATTAAATTTCATTATTCTTTACAGGTCCCTTTTTAAACGCTGTCTGGGGTAAATTACAAACTTTTACCAGCAATACTTTTTACGTCAATTTGCATTTGACTGGTCTAATAACGTGCCTGGCTTGGTATCCCTTACCTTTAATACATTCAATTCTATTAAGGCCAGATATTATTATTACATCAGATACTCCGTCATTTCATCAAGTTTTACGTATACTTAAGCAGCAGATAGATGCTGAATTGCCGATTTCAGAGGATTCTTTAGAAGTCATAGACGTTGCTCGTTCATACTTAATTGACCGAGAATTTCGCGTAATTAATGCCCGTAAAGCTACTGAAAGTCTCCCTGTTTCTATGGCTAAAAATATGAACACTTACCCATCCTTGTCTCAATCTGTATATGCACCGATTTCTGCTTCATCGCCAGTACAAGTGACGCCCTCGTCATCTTACGACCCCTTTAAACGCAACGACAACAAACGTAGAAGTATCAGTAAATCGATTAGCAGCATATTTAATCGCAAATCTAACGGTAAGTATATGATAATTGCAATTTCCGTTAGCTTCAGCGGTGTTGTTGTTACGGTTTAACAGAAACATTTATATATGGGTTTACAGGATTCTATAAACTTTTACTTTTTTCTTCATTTCAAATTTAAACGTGTTTATCAATAAAATTCGTTAACACATTTAATATTTTTCCATATAAAATTGTAATTACAATGAAGTTTCTTTTCAACATCTAATTTGTTTAACAATATTTGATGTTTTTTAAATAAAATTTTTATTATCATTTTCTATTTTATTTCTTTTTGAAAAAAAAAATCTTAGCTTCATCTGGCTTCTCACAAATTTACGCATTCTTCACCGGTAAATATTTTACTTGGAATAAATTTGTTTTTCCGATATTTTAGTACTAAGAGTGTATTTTCTACCTTCCTTTTTGTAAATTTTATTCTTACTGTTTTTACAACATTTTGCTTTGCATGATTGTAGAATGTTTGATCACGTAGCTTCTGTTCTCTGTATATGTATACGTTTTTTGTTTTTATCCTGGCAAAACAAAGTAATTCTTCTTATTTATTGCCTATTGTGCAGTTCACTCTTGCACAAAAAATATTTTCTTTGAAAGTACAAAATTATCTTAAATTTTATTCTTATAGCTATCACCATTGGAAGGGTCTATAGTAATTTAATTATTGCATTGTAAAGTTTTGTCGGTTACACGAATTAGGTTATTGTTATCACCATGCGGAGTAGGGCAACTAATAAACAAGAAAGATACATTCGGCAGCGGTTGAATCTTTTGCATCCAACAATTTTATCTTAAAAAAAATCAAAAAAAAAAACAAAACATGAAATCTTAATACGCTATAATGTTAGGTCGAAGTATCCGATTTTGTCCCATTTTTTAAAGGTACTGGAGGGTCACCCATAGAATATATACAAATATTGTTATCGTAGTAGTTATTACAGATTATGAGTAATGATTAATCCTTTTTTTTCTCAAAATATAGACCTTCTTTATTCAAGTGAGGCGTTTAACTGATCTGGTTTATTTTTTATGCCACCCGGTGTACAAGAGTTTTCAATAATATTGCCAAATTTGAAGTCGGTATACTAATTTTTACGGCCGCGAAACTGTTGGGCACAAAACGATAGGCGTAAATCGGTTGAGAGCTCGATGTCAATCAAAGGTTATGTACATATTTTATTTGCTCTGTGCTTTCTTCCTTCTGGGTGCTGCAAAAGCTTAAACAAACTGAATATAGCCCGTCACACCTTCGGTGGTGGGTATGAAAAGATGTAGTTTTTATTATGTTTCAGAATTGACAAAAATCGTACAATAAATTTAACCCTGGGTAGAAATGTTTTCGAAAGTAACTTAAAAGCTGAATATAGCTGGTCTAGGCATCCCATATGGTAAATAATTACAAAATGTTATTGATTTTTGTATAATGATTTGGACGAGGTGATTATCAAAGCTTCATACCCATGGGCAATGTCACTTACCTACTATTGCAGTAGGTATGCTTTTTAATATTTTCATCCTCTTTCTCCTTTCGATTCAATTTTATGTTTGTGTCCACTACCCTGGTATTTTGCCGTCTAACTGAAATATATTATGGACGTTTGAGTCGGAAAAAAAGCGAAAAAATTAATTTTACAATCTTTTCTTGTAACATTTCGGATTTTCATTAAATTATATTGCAAATCTAATATCACTTTTAAATCTTTATAGTTTCAGATTTTCAAGTGGTCTTTTTTAGTTTCCTAGAAAGATAGCCAATGTCGTTTTTTCTCTATATACACGTATTGATGGAATCATACGAGTGTTACATTATAACATTTGTTTCGTACAAGATGGCAAATGAATCAAAATGAATGGGTGAAGTCTTTTCGTGAGAATGGTGCATACAGCATGAATTGATTAATTAGAATTATTACTTAATAATTAACTACTCATAGTTACCGGAAAGTTTTACAAGTTTCAGTTTTGAACATAAGCGTTGTACCTCATGTATATTATTGGTTGTGCAGAATATATAAGTATTGAGCAAATGTATGTAAGAGAACACAGAATCGACGCCCATTTTACTATAGCGATCGGCTCAAAATTATTTTATGAATCGATTTGAGCTTATGTGATGCTTGCCCATATATTTTTGTGTTCAAGCGTTTTTGGTCGAAAAATGAAATTTCTCATTAAAATAATCATACGAAAATCAAAATTTGTTCCCTGTATTTCCCTAGCTATAGATATGTACATTAAACTAATTTTGTTGTTTTTTATATTTTAATTTGAACTAAAAAAAGCATGGATTTTGGTTTAATTTATTGTGATTTTTGGGGGTCGCTAAAAATTTTTATCCGTCAGTGTGTTTATTCGAAATATAATGTATCCCGAAAGTTATTGTAAATTAAATTAATTTATTCTGTGACGGTCACGAATATGTTCATGCACCAATGTCAACCTTCATCGAACGCATTTTTTAAGTTGTTACCTTCTAATATATCCTGTGGCAACACAGAGGGTGAACCCTAATGATAGAGCAAACTTGCACACGGTTTCGTGGGTAAATAATAGACTCTGTCAAGTTGAATGTCATTATAAATTAAAGAAACGGCAGACTACACTCTGTTTTCTTTTGTTTTCTCTGATATACTTATAAAATTGCAAATAGTATAACGAATTTAGTACACCAGCAGATACCTAATTCCAAGCATAAAACCAATAACAAATTGTAAACTTAGATATCTGTCTTCTTTTTTTTTGTAAATTAAATTTCGTTTCCAAGTATAATAACTATAACCAACTAGGGTTGATAGGATCAATGGGCCAGGTAAATTTTCGCGGAAAAAAAACATATCTGCTTTTTGTGCTCTTTTGCTAATTTGTTGAAGTTTTTATTTGTTCTTAAAATATACTTATAAATAGTCTTTTGAAAAACAATACTTCAATAAAACTCTTTTTTTTTTATAAACAAATGTAGGGTCAATATCAGCTTTTGGAAACTCAACGACCTCAAGTAGTACGCCTCAAATCCTCCAGCCAACACAATCTCTCATGGCAGCCAATAACGTTCTAGCGACTCATGAAACCAGTTTAACGACGTTGCCGTCCACATCAATTGCTTCAGCTATAGCGCAAAACGAACGCACAAATGAACGCACTAGTAACGTAAGGAATACAGCTCCAATGAGCGCAGCAGAAAACTTGTCATCAATACAATATCATGTACATAATTTGTCTTCCATGAATGTATGCAATGCATCGGCTTTACCATTATCCGATGCAAGCAACGTAAATAGCATGTTATTGACTGGACAAGGTTCAGGTGGACAAGGCTCAGAGCCAGTATCGTTGGACTCATTATCATCAACTATGGGTGGAATTGCTACCGCTAGCGGTGGCACTGAGCGTACTAGGGAATTGGCCCTGTGCGCCGTTTTATTAGACGAGTGGTTAAAAGAGTTGGCCGCTATAGCTCAAGAACAAAGTGTCGTTATGATTACCAGGGACTAAATGTACAGAAACAAATGCACAATGTTATTTATAGCTTACAACAATTGAATATTAGTTATTGTGTTTAATATACTTTACGAAACATTTGAAAACAATCTCAAAATTTGTTTAGTACTTCGGGACCGACTTTAAACAATTAGTACTCATATTTATTTAAAAATCGAAATATTTTATGTAAACTATTAAGATTGAAGGCACCGTATATTTATGTACACATATATGTATTTTAAATCCGAGCAATTTTTTTGTATATATGTGAGAAACACGCATATTCTTTTTCTATATTTGTACAAATGATAAAAATTGGCTTCAATTTTTTTCGTTATTATTCCAAGATAAAGTGTCCTTATTTTTATGTTTATTATTGCAAAGAGATCATCATATCTTACAACAAAATATTGGTTCGTTTGTTTTCCATTCCATTCATCTATATGAAAAATATATGTGTTCCTTGCACTTTAATTTTATTAAAAAAATTAATTTATTGGTTTATTTGGTACAAAATAAAAATGAGCAAAAAGTTATTTCTACACAAATTACACTAACAATAACTACCTCTAAATTATAGAAGTATTTGGTCTTTAAGAAAATCTATATGTATATATGTATACCTTGTACCGTTTGCGGTCCAAGTGTATATTAAATTTGTGCGATTATATAGAATTTCCAAAAGAACTTGAGACAAATTGACCTTTTATTATACCGATCGATTCAGAGTGACTTTCTAAATAGATCTAAGCTAGTCGGTCTGCATGCCCGTCTGCTGTCGTCTGTATGTATATTCATGTAGGTCGCAATCTTTGAGGTATTTTGATGAAGTTAGGTACACACTCGTGTTTGGCTCAAGAACGAAGTCTGTTAAAAATGGGTCCAACTGGACCATCTTTTGGACCGCTTTGCATTTGATGTGCTATTTTGAACAGTCCTTTTATGAATAAATGTGTTAAGCGAAATCATGGAGAGTATATAAGATGGGCCATGACCTATTATAATGTTTCTACCTGTTTTCATTAAGAAACCTGTACAATCGAGATTTGAAATATTTAACATAATATAATGTATAATAGTGTTGTAAATAATGTAGTCTTTTTTTATTTTATATAAATAAATCATGAGTTTGGCTGAACTGAGGGCTATTGATGGAAAATCTATCTTGCATCTATTTTTATACTCTACACCGCTTATGGATACCATTATAAATTTTCAGAATCGCTTTCTGAAGTTTGTCTGAATCCCTGATCCCTGCCTATGTAATCTTATGCTCACCCTATGAGTAGCAAATTTTTGAAATATTTGATGAAATATGGTGCACCATCGTTTTTGAACCAAGGATGAACTCTGATGAAAATAATTTGGAGCGGACTACATTTTCGACCACGCCCCACATAATGTCCTTTTTTAGAAAGTCAGTACCACATAAAAATAAAAATGAATATAAAACAACAAAAAAAATTGTAAAAGAAAAACGAGAACAAACGAAAGGCAACGAATTGCAATTCTAATAGCCCATTAAATAACATAAGTAAAGAATACTTATAATTTTTGCTTGTTATTAATATTAATTGTTGCTGACTTGGGAATAAGCTTATTTTGTAAGCATTTATGTTAAATAATCTTAGGTCAAACTATGAATATGGAAATAGTATATAAGCCAGAGGTTTTTGTGAACAAACTATCATTCTTGATATAATCGTTACATGCGACGTAGAACTCACACTTTTATTTTCTTTTAGTTAGACGGTTTAGCAAATTCAACTGATCTGGCACGCTTTGAAGCCGGGCGACCTAGGGTATAATATACTCTTAAAACTGCTAATAGAAGGAATCTGCATCCTCGTTACTATCACACACCAAAGGATTGAAAACTCACTGAAAATCTTCTAATCACCAAATTCACTATTACACATGAATTCACTATTACAATATGAAATAATGTTGGGATTTGCAGGATTTTTTGACAAAAATCGCTGAGTATTTCGGAACTCTGAATCGGTGTGAAAAATTTGGAACTAATGGAACAATTTTTTGTACTCTCTACAACATAATCATTCCTACAGAATCTTTATATGGCTAAAACGCCCAATTTCCAATATTTCATGGCGAAAATGATTCCATAATAGTAACTTGGCATAGAAATTAGCCCTGTCCAATTTGGCCCTCAGAGGTGTATTTTGTGGATCCCGCTATACATAGCGCTTGATGAAAAACAAGCCCTTGTATGACTAGTAAAATTTTTGTCAAATATATGAAGTTTACTAAATTTTGACTAAATTAGTAGACGTTTTACGCATCCTTCCATAAGGGAGGGAATAAATTTTGGCATATATTTTTTCTATTTTTTTTATATGACTTATCAATCAGGGAGTGTCCTCTATTCGTGGAATATCGTGACGGTCAGAAGCAAGTGACGCAGGAGAAATAGACAGGCAGTGACCTAATGCTAGTGAGTGTGTCCAGTCTATAAGTGTTATGGCTTTACCGGCTGAGCACATACTTGGTAGTCGCCATTCTTACTTAGTCGGGTACTCATTGCGGATATAATTCACGAAATGACTGGATGACTGTGTGAAGCGAAGTACTATGGGGTACGTAATGGTCGACCTTACCTGACTATAATGTTTTTATTTGTTTTATATAAATATTGCAATACATTATGTCGCGAAGGTATAAATATTCAACTAACTCTCTTATTCTAGCACAATCACGGATAGATCAATATGATACACTTATGATCTACTCTTCAGCAGGTCACTCACTACTTTTATTGTAATAACAAAGTACCACGGCATAAAGGGAAATTTTTAAAAATTGAAAGACAATATAAAAGAAAGGTGGGTAAATATTGGAAGAAAAAATAATTCCAATAATTTTATACAATTTTGTAGAAAAAAAAGCAAAGACAGTCGTATAAAAAAAATTAATTTTTTTAAATTAATTAATTTATTAATCAATTTCATTAGACTGGGGCGTAAGAGACTGTTGAAACATTAGAATCGGGACAAGAATTATTGCATTAAACGCTATGAAAAAGTAAAAGAACTGAACACAATCTCCTAAATTTGTGTACTATGCATGTGTAAGACTACTCACTTTGAGCATATGTATGCTATGACATGACTTATTGAAGAGATCTGTGCGTGAGTGTATTCGCGCTATTGTACAAATATTTGTGTGCGGTTGTGCGTGCTGTTGCTTAAGAAATTATACATTTACGCATGAGCAATAGAATCTTCAATTTTTGGTTTTTGATGTTTGGCCGTTTCTGCTTTTAGTATTTTATAAATAAATTTGCCTTTTTTAGATAATTACCATTATTTTTGTAAATATCCATCTATTTATTGCCAAAAATTTTTGTTGTAATTATTCTTCGTAATTTCTACTACACATATTTTCCCCATTATTGTTATTACAAAAAAAAATTAAATTATTTACAACTTCTATATTGTCAACCTTGTCGCATCAGCAACAATAAAAATTGAAGTAATCAATAAGAGATCGAGAAGTAAAGCGGAATGGGTGGTAGACCTCATAATTACTGTGAGTTTGCGGTAGCCTAATAAGCCAATAATTACGAACATTTTCCGCCGGAATATGAACACTAATCTCGGTCAATAAAAACGGCGAACTACGCTCACCAGGTAACATTTTCATAATAAACGAGACGCCTAACCAGCCACGTCTACTCTCCGAGCAAAGGTGAATAAGCTTAAGATGGTTCTCATAAGGCGGCAGCGGTACAGCCGTGATCCAACTCCAGCCCTGCAAAGCAAACTTTATAAAAACTTTTTGCGCAGACTCAATCTAATCAATATAGCATATGTAGTTCGGTGACAACACCACAACGGAACTTTCCAATATAGGGCTGACAAGTGCAGTAAATAACCTCTTACTAATCCTTAGATTCGTACAACCAACCTCTAATAAACCTCACCAGAGCTTTCGACACTCAAGATACATTAGAAGAACCAACATAAATGAGTTTATCTCCAGAAACTAATAAATCCAGCACTTTGAAGACTAAAACTCTTTTGGATTTTTTCAAGGATAATCGCCTAGGGTCTATACCAGCACTTAATTAAAGTCCATATCTCCCAAATTTATAGATTTATACAAGAAGGCCCGTTTTGTTTAGACAAGTGAATTAACCATGTTGTATGAGCGTGTGCATATCAGTGTTTGTAATATTAATAATCATTTTTAACAACATTTTTTGATTTTGAATTTATAGTTGACAGAATAAATAAGAAATAATATAACCGCATCACTTTTACTATAAATTTTCTATTATTTATGTTTCATTACTTAACATATTTCATAATTGAAATAAATATATGAATATATTAAGTGTACAAACATTTGATTTGGTCGTTTATGTATTATAAGAGTAGTTAGTTTTCGGATGTTGACAGCCACAATTATATAAACAAAAACTTTTCTCTTTTCTGCAAATGACAACCAAGTTTTACGCGATCGGGAGACAAACGTTTATCAATTATCGATTTGCTCGCGAACGAAAGCTCAGATTACCCTCGTGACGTTTGATCGGCAAGGTCATATCTTCTTAACACAATTTTACCGAGTTAGATATGGGTTGGTTTAGGGCTTTATTTGACAAATATATGTGCGGAGAGGGCGTTAGAGATTTAATCACACAGGCTATTTTGAAGTTGTGACATGTAGATTACACATTTTGAATGTAGAATTAGAAAAAAGTATATTTTGAATAAATAATTGTAGATGTAGAAAAACATAGAAAATTCAAGAAAATATGCCAAAATTATTTGAAAAGAAGCTTAAGCAAACACATGCCTAAGTGTGCCCAAATATTTCTGTGTCTAAAAGTACATAGTGCACAAACTTCAGTAAATACGCTCGTCCAAAAACATTATATATATAAGATAGCACATTTCGCTAGCACATTTCGTCGGGGTCACTAAAATGTAAACTCAAAAGAGTTTTGACTATTTTGAATTTATTTATTAGCATGTCCGCCGTGGACACTAAACAAATAAAGATGAGATCGTCTTATACGATCTATTCAAATAGTAAAAGGTCAAGAGCCTAATCGGTTGGCAGGATTCGACCAAACGTTACGTCAGGTCGTACCGACTTTTATATTTGGTTCTTCCAGCACTTGGAACTGGAAGAAACCACAAAAAATAATGATCAATGTAATCTCAGATAGACGAATTTTATTGTCAAAAATACGGGTTATAAATTATAATTCTTATAAACTAACTTAGAATTATTTTGCAGTAAACGAATGTATGAATTGATG